ACCAACAAACCTGAAACAACTTTCATCCAAATCAACTAATTCATTTACATATCTGCACAATGGCAACATATCTAAAGGCCTAGTTTACACATTCTGTTCTGTATAACACTGTTTTAAAGTTACATGGTATATAATAAAAGAACATTTTTGTAATAAACATTTTCTCTTTGATATGACACAAAACAGTTTTCTCATACTCCCCCGCAATCACTCAAATATATTAAAAATGTATCCTTTTTGAAAAGGCTCACACATTTACAGGTTCAAATCTTTATTGTTTTAAAATTCTACAGGTCTTTTACAATACAATATTGTTATTTAAATGACCTTTAAATGGTTATTGTACAGTGCATTTTCTGAAATGCAGCCATGAATTATGATTTCATCAATATGATTATTCTAAATAGAGTCATTATGATGTTGGGAAGGTTTGAACGCCACACTGGAAAACGTCAATAGCAGACTCTTCTCTGCAGAACCCAGATGACTATCTGTTGAAAGTGCTTTTCAGGATTGCTGATTATTTATGGCTGATCTTAAAGTCAGTCAAATTACAGAGTTCCTTTTTTGAAACATCAAAGGGCATTTAAAAAAAATGAAATAATTTGCTTTAGTAATCTACTGAGGCAAACTCAAAAGTTATGATTATCCACATGCAGCAACACTCTTTAAATAGTTTTGAAGAATTTATACATTTTTATAAAGAATGTGTTAAAGAGTGCAAGTATTCTGATACTGATTTCACAAAAGGACAAATGCTGGTAATAATAGCTAACATTTAACATCTAACTAACTTCAAGCTAATGTATATTTAACAGGCAATTAATATGGCTAACCATAAGCCACAATGCACAGGGTATGCCCTTTGAGAAGATGAATTAGTTTGGTCCTCATTTCTAGTTATCTGGGTATAAAAGAGAAAACAAAAACAAAAACCCAAAACCATTTTAATTCAGCCAAGGGTTGTGATGAATTTATTGTTCCTAAATTGTAGCCAGTTAAAAAGTACACCGATAAAATATACTGTCATGATGATGTTTGTATAAAAAGATGACCTGCTGTTTTTGAGGGGATTACTGAGCAATGTAGGACAAGTCAGAAAATGACATAAAATGTAGTAATTTCTTCCATAGGTTATACTTTCTTATTCCATGACACAGCTTTCACTCTGTAAAACTTTGTCCCCAAAGGAACTTTAAATCTGTTTTGTGCCTTTTTGGCTTGACTATTCCTTTTCCATTACTTTTCCAAGCACCCAGGGTCTTCTAGATGCACCTGAAGGACCCTCACCTGGTTTGAGATCCAGGGCAGGCAGAGACTCTGAATGCAAAAAATATAAAGTAGGACTAATAGTAAATAGTACATAATTGTCGTGGCGTTCATCTAGGATGATGAGTACCAAATCTCCCACCTGAAAATCTCTAATTGCTATCTTTTCAGAATGCCTTGAAGATACTGAAGACATGCTCTGAGACATCAGTCGTTGATTTAACCTCTTATTTTCTTCCTCTTTCAACTGCAATGTTCTTTCTAAGAGCATTATCCTCTGTTTTTCTTCAGAAAGCATATGGACATTTTCCTGGACAGACATCATGCTTGTTTCCATTGCTGAATCCACTTTTCTTTCATCTGCTGTCTCCAAGGCTGATCTATCTCCTTCACTTGGGGATCCAGGTGCACAGGCTCCATAAAGTTCTGGGGCTGCAGTTACATATGGTGAAGGAACAAAAGTGCTGCTATGCAACTTACTGACTTCTTCAAGCTTCTTTTTTTCCTCAAGCAAACGAGCTGTATCTTCAGAAAGTGATTCTATCAAATCTTTATCCCTTTCTTGTTGTTGCATTGTACTCTTCAATTTGTCATTAAGATCATTTATTATGTTTTCTTTTCTCATTTTCTCTCTTGTTAAAACAGTATTGAAATCAATCTGTTGTTCAGCAATCTAAGATGTTCAGACATTTTGCATTTCTTCATTCTTTCTCTTCTCTTGCTCTTCAAGTTGTTCCAGAAACTTAGCTTTTTCTTCCTGAAGCTTTTCTTGAAGTTCAGCAACTAAGCTTGAAGAATCTTCTCTGGTAGATTCAATGACAGGACTTTTTGCTATTTGATTTTCA